TTTGATATCTTCCTTGGTATCTCCTTGGTATCTTTGAGGCCTCCGATTTTCAGGAAATTGCCCTCATTGGTGATCAGAAGATGTGGCAGTGGTATCCCCCCGATAGGTCGGAGCAAAAGGGGTAACATGGCATAGCCAGTCCTCGCAAAAGGCGTGTTTTACCGATGTGGTGCAGCCGGCAGAACACGTCCCCGCGCAGTCAGTCCAACCTGATGAGGATTGTTGCGTATTGGGCTGCGTCTCCGTTCAGGGCTGTGATAACCAACGGGCCCAATCCTGATCTGACCCGCCCACATCATCATCACCTTTCCAAGGAACGTCTTCTCGTCTTCCATTTCCTGCCCAAGGATCTTGATCTGGTTGTAACCAAGGATGCGCTGGAAATTCATATTCTTGAATATGAGCGTCGTCTGGAGAATCCATGGCGGCGCTCGGTGCAACGGGGTAGAGAGCGGGAAGAACAGGAAAATAGTAAAGAGTATGTCGCCCGAGAATCGAATGACAGGAGAGTCAACCGGACTCTCCTCGTGGAACTCAACCACGGGTTCCGCTGCCACTGATGATTGCACGGGAAGAACTGCATGGATACAGGAAGACACGAGGTACACATAGGGGGACCTGTGCTAGAAGAGAGCACGTTCTCCTTCCTTGTACGGAGGCGTGGGCGCGTACGTCACCGGCGCGCCATGATAGCTCAAAGGGACCTTGTGAACCGATACGGCGGCGCACAAGGGAGTACAGAGAGAGGCGCAGGAGGAGGAGAGGCTGACAGGGGCCTGACAACCACTGCACAGATAAGGAGGGTGAGGGGGAGGGAGAAAATGAAGGTGTAGGGTGTAGGGCGAGCAAGAAGAGAAGGATTACATGTTTTCAAAATGCGGACCGCCATCATCGGCAGAGCCGGGTGCTTCTCTCGCGCCACTCGACAGCTGAGCGCGGAACTGCTGGGGAAACGTGACAAAAGTGTGTCGTCTGCAGAAGGCACGCGTAGCACATTGGCATTCGTGGCCATATGCCCAACATGCAAGCGCAACTCTTGTGTATAGTGGGAGGAAAGGAAGAGAAGGAGGATAAGGAGAAACATAAGGGGATGACGGAGGAGTAGTGAGGCCGAGAATGGAACAAATGAGGAGGTGGAGGAGAAGGATAAGGAGAAGGACCACGTTCAATCCAATGCGCATCCACGATGTTGCAAGTAACCTTCCTTCCAAGTTCCATTTTCAAAAGGTCCCTACACTGAGGCGAAGTCCCCAATGGAAGACAATCGTCTGGGAATCTCCAGCCCTGTCAAAACAACATAGCTGGGATTTCAACGCCGCGAATCAGCGTTACTGTTGCGTCCTGGCGAACCTGAATCGTGCCAGAACACCGTTCTTGGAACTTCAAAACCACGAATCAACGTGACTGCTGAGCTCTGCGGATCCTAGATCGCTTCAAAACACCATGTCTGCCACGCGAGCATCTTAATAGTCCTATGAGAACTTATCAATATTTAGTGAGTGCGCGGCGCTAGTACGAAAACCACATCTTGAAAAGGAACCGCCCTCCATCCGTGAAGCACCTGTGAATTTTCAAAACGAGTGGGCGCGCCGCTCAGCAGCCCCCTTGGCTGAGGCCGCTGTTGCTCGAGGGTGGCCGTCGCGGCCTGGGGGCTAGAATTCTCCCTGGACTTCGGTCGGGGGCCTCCTCCTCTCGGGCGGGTGGTAAAAGGAGGTTGCCCACATGGTTGGGGTGAAGACAAGCGCCCTAAAGGGGCGCTTTAGGGCTCCCTTTCTGGCACTCATTGTCTCCGAAGGGGGCCCCTCGGGGCCCTTTTCTTAACCCCCCCATTGGGGTCACCCCCCGTTGCCACTCGCTCGATCCTCTCGGTGCCCCTCTGCCCGGTGCCGTGTCTCCGTCCCGTGGCGTGGTGCCGCGGACGGCCGTGCGGGCTGGGGCCGGGGCGTCGGGGCCTGGGCCGCTCGGAGGCCCACCCACATGTGCCCCAAGTAGGCATGCAGTAGATATGTAAGAGACGAACGATAGATATACAGGAGCTACCAAAAAGATACCAAACATATTGCCACACACACCTGAATCTAATTATATATATATATACATACATACATGTGTGGACCTCTTATCTAGTGAGTGGTATGGTTATTTCAGTGCACGTGTGCTCGGTTTTTATTCAGGAGCATTCTGTTGGGAGAACGACGTTGTGTGTTGTTGTGGGTTCGGTTTGTTTGGGTTTGCTTGCACCCCTCGTCGACATCGACGTTGCCTCCGCGCGCGTGAGTGAGATAGGGAGAGAGAGAGAGAAACAAAAAAAGAGAAACACACTGTTCCCCAAACGAGGGATCGACGGTTTGTATTGTTTTGCTTGCGCTTGTTAAGACATCAAAATTCGATTCGTTTGTTTTTCAGGGGGGGCTGGGTGTTTTGTTTGTTTTCTATTACTGCAAATGCATCCGAATTCCAAGGAGGAGGGACAACGCAAAAACGCATGTTCTGAAATGGGGCAAAGATGCGTTGTGTGTGTGTTGCTTGTGCTGGTCCAGAAATAACAATGTCTGGTTGTGTGTGTGTGTGCGTGTGTGTGGGGGGGGGGCTGGGGTGTTCTTTGTTTTGACTACTGCAAGTGCATCTTTATTTCGAGGAGGAGAGAACCAATCAACAACACCTTTTACAACGATGCTTTGTGTTGTACTCGTGCTGTCCAGCGTGTTTTTTCTGATTGCGGCGATTTTTCACAATGTCACAACATTTGTAATGCATCATCCGCTCATCATCATCACTGTCATTGTCTTTGTCGTGATTACCACCACCACCATCGTCATTATCATCGTCGTCGTCCCTGGCATCGTCATCGTCATCGTCTCTGCCATCGACATCGTCATCGTCATCGTCATCACCACCACCACCATCACCATCATCATGTTTACCCCAAGTCTCACAATAGCGTGGGGCGGGTCAAACAAGTGTTTGACAGTTCGTCTGGGACACCCCCAAGAGAACAACGGGTCTATCATCGCGACCCCCAAACAGTCTTGCTTGACGAGGCCCGTTCAACTCCCACAAAAGTAGATCCCCGCCATTATTATGGGACCCAGGGTAACCCCACCAGTGACCCACAACGGTCACTCCGCCGGCCAGGTGGATCATTACACCGGCTAGTCAAAAGCGATGAACAAAAAGATGAAGCTTGCAGAATTTTCATGTACAGCCTGCTATTTACTCAAGCATTTTATGCTTCACACCATCGAGCACTACGTATTGTTTCGTTTAACGCCTCGGGCCTTTGGAAGGCCCACCTGGCTGGTGACACTGCGCGGCCAGTGTAGACACGGTGTGGCCAATGTAAGGTCCAATTGGCCGGTGTAGATCCTAATCACGACCCCGGGGTCCTGGGGGAGGTTCCGCCTTCAGGGTCGGCGGCACTGGCCGTAAGGCCTGCACAAGATCGATGCACGTGCAGTCATAAAAAAAACACCCACCCAGCCCCCGACAAAACACATAGGAATTGGTAAAAGGGGTTCTCCTCTCATTCTCTCTCTCTCTCTCTCTGTCTCTCTCTCTATTCTCTTTCTATCCCTCACGCGCGCAGCGGCAACGTGGATGTCGAGGAGGGGCGAAAACCCGCCAAAACAAAACGACCCTCCACCCAACAGAAAACGTGTGCTCGCACTGCTTTTCATTATGACTTCCAACATGTCAAACTTTCGGAAGGTCCGCGCGGGTCTCCTGGATCGGCGCTGGACCCCCTTCTCTGCGCCAGAGGCGCCGCCAGGGGGATCCAGTACGGACACGAAGAAATCGGAACGTACCTCCGAAAGTTGGTGTTTGTGCCGTTTCGTGTTCGAAGAAAGGCTGGAGAATGGGGGGGAAGGAGGAGGGGGAGGGAGGATCAGGTTCGAGGATCGAGGTCTCTATGCGTTCTGCACCTCTGCTCTGCCTCCGCAGGGGGCTTCAAGGGCACCCATGGACACACTCTGGAGGGACCCAAAGAATACCGGCAAGACCTCCCAGGACCTCCTGAGACCTCCGTGTGGGGAGGAGGAAGAGGGCGGGGATGAGGATGAGGAGGACGAAGGACCCTGACGTCCTCGCGTCGACAGAAAATGACGGCTGGACGTTGTTGGCAGCCTTCGGCCTCCAGAGGCCCTTACTGGGCCCTGGGGCCGTCAAACAAGTGCTCAGGATGACAAGCTGGTCCCCAGGGATCTTGACCTCTGGGGAGCCGCGTTGCAGAACAACACGACGCCGGATGTCTGAGGCGAAAAGGATGGGAAGAGGATCCTGGGAGCATCGGAGATCTGGTGGCACCCATCCGATTCGTTACAGGAACAAAGAACTGCATGATTCTGAACTTTCGGATGTCCGCCAGGATTTCTCGGTGCGGCGCTGGAATCCTGTCCCTGGCGCGCGGAGCGCGCCATGGGGAGCGCCGGAGGCGCCGCACGGGGGGGCCTGGCGTTAAGTCGGGCGTGACCCCCTACAGGGGTTTTCGAGGAAAAATTAAAAATATCAAAAACAAAAAATCAAAAAATAATCCAAAAATAGTCTGGGGACTATTTTTTGAGTATAGTTTGACCTTTTTGGGGCATTTTGGGAATACATGTAATTTTTCATCGAAAATCCCCCTGTAGGGGGACACGCCCGACAGAAGCCTGGCGCAGCTCCAAGGAATCCGAGCGGGCCTCCGAAAGTGTACGTTTCTTCTGTTTTCTGTTCTGCCAGTGAAGAGGGCAGGCAATACACCGCCATCATAATCACCCCGACACGCGAAGCCGTTTAGTGAACGCACCCACAGGAGGACTCAAACAGGGCAAGGCTGTCTCGTAAACGCCCATGGCTGCCCAGCACACGCCACCTATTTGGTCCGGGTGCTGCTTTTTCCTCGACGGTTCTCCTCCTCCACCTCGTCCTCGTCCTCCTCGCTCTCCCGCTTGTTGCAGGGAGGCACCACGGGGGGGGGCCGCATCTCCACCCTTCGCGCGCAGACGAGGCAGGCGGCGCAGTCACGCCCACGAGGCTCTCAGAGTGGAGGCGCGCTCCAGCGGCGTCGGCGCCGGCCTTCGCCCTCCCGCGGCAGGCAGGGCCGCCGCCCTGCACTGGCGGGCGGCCTCCTCGATCGAGGCCGAGTGCCCCTCCGTGCCGAGCACGCCCCCCATCCTCGAGTAGCCCAGGCGGCCTGCGGTCGGGGCGCTGACTTAAGGCACCCTACATGATTAGGGGGCGCGGCCCCTTTCCTCCCTAGGCTACACTTCGATGCCCCATCGAAAACCGAAGGACAGCCTGAGGCAAAACGCGAAGCGATTACTCCGGATTCCATAATAAAGTGGGGGGGGTCACATTTTTGGGGGGGGTCTGATTTGAGCTGTCTCGGAGGGCTCGGGGGGGTCTGGGCAAAGGGCCGCCCTTTCATGGATGGTCTGGGAGGGTCTAAAACTTCTCGTCTGGGAGGGCTGAGACCCCCTCCCTTTTATTACGAAATCTAGAGTAGGGAACACGGAGCCCCTCCCCCGCGAGCAGGGCTCCCTCTTCGGCGCCCCGGCTGCAAACGCAACTCGTCGGAGGTCCGCGCGGATGCCTCGGATCGGCGCAGGACCCCCCTCCCCGGCGCGCGGAGCGCGCCGGGGAGAGGGGGGGGGCCGAAGGCGCCGCCGTGGGGTCTCCAGCGCAGATCCAGGAACTCGAGGGCTCCTAGATGGGGTCGGAGTAGATGGGGTCGGAGGACCGAGCCGCATCGCCGATGCATCGGCGATGCATCGGCGATGCCTCGGCGAGGCATCGGCAGTGCACCGGCGATGAGGCGTCGACGTGGGCGATGCGTCGGCGACGTCGGCGTGAAGGAAATCGGGCTTCACGTCGAGCTGCATCGGCGATGCCTCGGCGGTGCGGCGCGATCATCTGACCCCGTCTGCTCCGACCCCATCCGGGAGGCCTAGAGGAACTCCGCGCGGAGCTCGGAACGTTCACGTTTATAAAGGGAAATTAGGACACACAAATAAATACACAGACATAAAATGTATCCCCATATTTTCCCGTATTTTCTGGGTTTTTGTCTTCCCCCCCAATTCCCATATTTTCCCATATTTTCCTGGGAATCGAGGATTAATTGTGTCTGTGTGTTTTTTCCCCTCCTGAGTTCATGCAGCTGCTTAGCGTTCGAGCCTACGCCCTCCATCTCGAGGTCGAGGGCCTGGTGCGAGGCCTGCGAGACGGTCAGCACCGCCGGGCGGCCCCCCTCGCCCAGGAGGAACTCCAGGCTCTGGGCCTCCGCGCGCGGGCCGCGCCGCTCCCGCCACACGAAGCGGACCGTCAGCTGGCCGACCACCGCGGCCAGCCGGGGGGACTCCACGCGCGCGAAGGACCTCCAGGGGCCATCGCCCAGCCGCAGCGAGAAGTTCGTCAGCGTCTGGTGGAAGTAGGGGGAAAACAAACCTCCCTCGCTCTTGACCACCCTCGCTTCCAAGAGATACCAAGCGATGCCAAATTGCAGCCTGTACTGGTTTGGCCGCTTGACGAGGAGGCGCGTGGTATGACTTGGTTTTGCCTGGAAGCGAAAGCGGGGGAGGTAATTCACGCTCTGAGGAAGGAGCGGACCGCAGCACAAGCGCAGACTCTCTCGAGGGTCCGGGCGGCTGGTCTGGGCTCGGCACCAGGGCTGGCGGCGCCTCCCGCGCCGATCCCAGACGCATCCGCGCGGACCTCCGAGAGCTGACGCTTGTGCCGAGTGTTGCTCTTCGGGCCTGGTTCCCAGCCCAGTTGGAGCCGCCGACGTTGCGCGTGTAGGGGCGGACCTGCACGACCTGGTCGTCGAGCCACGAGCCGCTGAGCGTCACCCGCCTCGCGAAGAGCCCGCACGGCCGCACGCCGTCGGTGCCCAGCTCGGCGCTCAGCTTGAGCGTGGCCGGCTCCTGCTCGCTGTAGGGCAGGCGAAGCAGCGTACGCAGAGGAAAAAACAAGTGCACCAGCAGAAACTGTCGGAGGTCCGCGCGGAGCCCGTTGATCGGCGCTGGACCCTCCGCTCGCTCACAAGCTGAGCGCGCCAGGGGCAGCGGCAATAAATCTTAGCTTGAATCATCCTCACAACTCTCTCCCAAATTGGCAGGTATCAGCGGCTGAGAGTCCTCTTCATCTCTGAGGGCCTCTGCCACCTGCGCCAACACCTGAACATGGGAGTGAGGAGCAGCCTGCGCATGGCAAACGGGCGCATCATCAGACCTGGAGGCCTCAGGGCCTGTCACACTGACGCCCAATTCCGAGGCATGCTCCGCGTAGACCTCCGAAAGGCTCTGCTTGAGCAGTGCTTTCTTCTTCAGGAATACTCGGAGGGCGCCTGTATATCGTAGCACTCGCCGCTCAGCGCGCACACGTGCGGGCCCCCTTGCGCTCTCGGGTGGCCGGCGGCCGCCGCCGGCGAGCTTCCGGACGCGCCGTCGCCACGGCCCTCCTGCAGCGTGATCGTGGAGCCGGCGGGGTACGCAAACGTCGTGGGCTCCACCTGGAAGAAGAACAAACTGCATACTCCACTCCACACCTCGTTATAACAGGGAGGGGACCACAATCCTCCCAGACAGGAAAACATACTCCCCCCCCAGACTTGCCATGAGCAGGCGGTCTTTTGCACAGACCTCCCTGGAACCCTCCCAACCCGCTCAAGTCAGACCCCCCCATGAATCCGACCCCCTGCTTTTTTGGACTCCCGAAATGGGTACCGAAAAAATGGGTACAATGCCCAACAGCAAATGTTGTCCCAAACCAACAGCGGCCGCTGTTGGGCAGGCGGCCCTCTGTCTCAAATGGACACAGGCCGCGGCGGCGTGGACAGCGAATCCTGTCCAAATTGAACAGGAACTGCTGTTGGGCATTGTACCCATTCTTTCAGTACCCATTTCGGGCGTGCAAAGACCTGGAATAGCCCTGAGATCCCGGCGACTCCATTTTTCAGAGCTGGGCGTTTGCGCATGGCTTCGGGCCTCGGGACCCTCACAGATCGATCTGGCTCGAAACATAGCGCAGGAAGATAGGGTCTAGGGCTCCCAGCGTGATGTTTTGCGATGTTGCATGTTTCCCATTTCGGGCGTCCAGAGCTTTCTTTCATGAAGTGCGGCATCAACATCTTGGAGCTCCGTTCGGACCTCCTGGGCCGGCGCTGGACCACCCGCTCCCTGGCGCGCGAAGCGCGCTCGGGGCGGCGCGGGAGGCGCCGGCAGGAGGCCCAGCGCCGGTCCAAAAGGTCCGCGCGGGGCTCCAACAATTCCTTCCTGGGCCACCAGGAACCAGAGGAGGAGGAGGAGGAGGAGGAGGAGGAGGAGGAGGAGGAGGAGGAGGAGGAGGGCGGGCGGGGAGGAGCGAAGTTTTCCTCCTCCTCCTCCTCCTCCTCCTCCTTGGTTGCGAAGTTTCCCTTCCTGGGCCACCAGCAGCATCGGCCCGAAGCCTGCAACGCAGACGGCCTCGGAGTTGCCCCCGCCCTCGAGCAGCAGGCAATTGCCGACCGATAGGCCTGCCAGCGCCTCCCGGCGGCGCTTGCCGGGGGGAGGGAACAGGAAGAACGGGCCTTTCCAGAGGGGTGCCGCGGGGCCCCTCCAAGTCACGGAGGGGGGCCGTGACACAAATCCTGCTCCTCCTCCTCCTCCTCGTCCTCCTCCTCCTCGTCCCCCTCCTCCTCCTTCTCGTTCTCCTCCTCCTCCTCCTCCTCCTCCTCCTCCTCCTCCTCCTCCCCCTCCTGTTTCTCCTCCTCCTCAGGAGATGTCGTAAGTATAGATAGTCGGAGATCCGCGCGGCTGTCTTGGATCGGAGCTGGGGGGGGGGGCCTGGCGGCGCCTCCAGCGCCGCCTCGGGCGCGCGGGGGTCCCGCGCCGATCCAGGAGATCCGCGCCGAGCTGCGAAAATGAATACTGGGCCTGATGGGCCTGTTTTCCACCACCACCACCATAAGTTGGAGGGGGGAAGGAAGTGGAGGAGGAGGAGGAGGAGGAGGAGGAGGAGGAGGAGGATGAGGAGGAGGAGGAGGAGGAGGGGGAGGGGGAGGGGGAGGAGGAGGAGGAGGAGGAGGAGGAGGAGGAGGAGGAGGAGGAGGAGGAGGAGAAGGAGGAGGACCCCCTCCCCCTCCAACTTATGGTGGTGGTGGAAGACAGGCCCATCAGGGCCTCCTCCGGAGACGCAGGCGGCTTCTCGGAAGGCGCGAGGGCCTCTGAGACGCCCCGCCGCGCTCTGAGAAGGCCTACTCTCGGTCGGCTCCGGAAGCGGCAGGGCTGTTTTTTTTTCAGTCTCCGACAGCCGCCTCCTGCCACTGGAAATCCGAAATGAGAAGGCAACCGGCAGCGGCGGCAGCGGCAACACGAACGGCTCCGGAGCCGGAGCTGGGACCGGACTCGGCAAGCAAAGCTGCGGCGGAGCCGGCAAACAAACGGCGCCGGGAAGGACACAAAAATGGCAAAACGAAGCCCCCTCTCCCTGCCCCCCTCCCCGGCGCGCCGCCGAGCCTCTGCTGGCGCTTCTATCGACGTCGCCCCTGCGTCAAGAGGGGCGTCCAGCACACGCCGGAAGAACAAACAGCCGCATGCACATAAGCTTCCGGAGCTCCGTGCGGCAGGGGTCGACCTCAGCGGTGCTTTGGCGATCTCTCTTGGGCCGTTTTCGTTGTGACTTCGTTCTGCAGAGGAGGCGGAGCGAAGACATCACGAAAACGAACAACACTGCTCTGGTCCAGCCCTGCCATGCGGATCTCTCGGATCGGGGCTGGACACACTCCACCTGGGGCGCGGAGCGCGCCAGGTGTTGGCGCTGGAAGGGCCCGATTCCCAGCGCCGATCTGAGAAATCCGCGAGGAGCTCAGAGGAATTGCAGGAACAAGGTAATTCGGCACGTCTGCCACCAAGGGACCACCAGCGGGAGGAGCCAGGGGGTGTCCCCCTTGGGTGTGGCCCTCCCCCCTCGCTCGAGACCTCCCCGCCACGTCTTCGACGAATTCTGAACTCTAGCGCCGCCGCCCATCGAAATTGAATCGTTGATCGGCGACGGTAGGGTTCGGATTTCGCCGCCGATCCGTCGGAGATCTACTGACCCGGGTCAATGCAAACCTAGGCCAATCGGGGTATGCAGGAGCCTCCATGATCCTTGAGGATCCTGCGCGCAAGCCCGGGCAAATGCAGCCCTGGCTCTGCAAGATCCTGCGAGATCTGGCGCTCTGGCTGACCCCCGCTTGCACTTACCCCGGCTTGGACTGACCTCCGTCTCAATCGGCTACACGCAAGGGTGACCCTGGGTAAGAGTGACCTTTGGTGCGCTTTTATGGGGGGGGGGGGGCTGCGGGGAGGCCAAACGCAAGCGCGGAAGACGCCACTGCCGCCTCGCCCTCGGCGATCGGGGGACCCCAGTGGGCCCACACCAAAGGTCACTCCGGCGAAGACCCTTACGTGTAGTCGACTCAAGGCTCCCGAATCCGAAACATTATGTGCATGCCAGTCTTTGTTCTTCGACATACGCCATCAACCGAGCCGAGGCGGCGTGGCCGTGGGCCGCGGCTGCGGGCGCGGCCGCCCGCGCCACGTCCGAGCAGCGCACGAAGAAGAGCTTGCCGTAGCCGTCGCAGCGGGAGGAGGGCGGCGAAGCGCAGTACTCCCAGTGGTCGTGCCCGATGTTCGGGCGACGTCGACTGAAGTTGATGTCTTGATCGTGGTCGTCCTCGTTGTCGTCGTCGTCGTATCGTCGTCGTCGTCGTCGTCGTCGTCGTGGTGCTGGTCGTCGTCGCAGTCGTGGTGCTGGTCGTCTCGCCGCTTCGTCGTCGACTCGTCCTATCATAATCGTAGTCTTCCAACGGGCGTGTTCGTCGACAACCGAGAGGACGTTGACGATGACGGCGATGATAGCCGCGGTGATGATCCTGGCGACGGTGGTGATGATGGTGATGATGATGGCGATGCTGTCGATGACGATTGTGATGATGATGATGACCATGCTGATGCTGATAATGATGAAGATGGTGATGATAATGACGATGATGATGATGATGATGATGATGATGATGAGGATGATGATACTGCTGATGATGATGATGATGATGGTAATGGTGATGATAATGCTGATGCTGCTGATGATGATGATGATGATGATGATGATGATGATGATGATGAGGGTGACGATGATGCTGATGACGCTGATGACGATTATGCTGATGGCGCTGATGAATGACGCTGACGACGATGATACATATTACTTTGATAGGGTTAATGAGAAAGCGTGCGCTCGCAGAAACCAAATCCGCCGACCCGTTGTGGGTCTCCAGGCGTGTGAGACGGCTTCGTTTCGTTTCGTCCTTCGGCCCGAACTGTATCTAGACTACCCAGACATGTCACTGCGTGTTCATCATGCAAATGCAAGCGCTAAACGATCCACCAGTCTACGCACTACTGTCGCGCATTCTGCTAATGCCGCTGCCTCTGCGGAGGAAGAGTCTGTACATGTCTTGAGGAATGTGCCTCCCATCATACTGCAATATGTGAGATTCATCCCCCCCATAATCCTCCCCCAAAGACCCCAAGGGCCCCACACCGGGACGTTGGCCCCTCGCCCGGGGCACGGGACGACCCCTAGCCGAACTCACCAGTGGGGGGGTCCAGGCTCCCCCAGGACGGCCTTCGGAGTCTCCGGGACGGCCCAAACCGCCCAAAAGAGTCCACATACGGCCTTCACGTGCTACCATGATGGATGGTTGAAGATCAACCCAAGGTGGCGTTGATATGGTCCAACGAGCCTCCAAATCCGCCCATGCGACTTTCAAGTGAACGCCCAAAAAGGCCTCCAGAAGCCAACACCTCGAACATCCGACGGGTTCCCGTATG